GCGCGGGGCGGCGGGCGCCTGCGCAGATCGAACGTCCGCCCTCCCGCCCTGGTGAGGGGCGCGGTGGGGCCGGGGCGAGCCGATGGAAAGGCCGAGCGGCTCGGAGGCGGAGCGGGCAGACGGCGAGCCCGAGGTGAAGAAGCGGCGACTGCTGTGTGTGGAGTTCGCTTCGGTCGCGAGCTGCGACGCCGCCGTGGCGCAGTGCTACCTGGCCGAGAACGACTGGGAGATGGAAGTAGGCTTCGCCGCTCTCTTCGTCCTCTTTACCTCGGGCCGGGGGGCGCCCGGGTCTCACGGCTGTGTGTGTTTTTCAGAGAGCGCTGAACTCCTTCTTCGAGCCGCCCGGGCAGGAGAGCGCCGCGGAGAGCCGCCCTCACACGGCGGCGGGGCCCGAGTCCTGGTGAGGGGGCGCGCGACCGGGCGGAGGCGCGGGGCTGGGGGCTTCTCCGCGTGCGCCGCAGCCGGGGAGGGAGACCCCGCCGACAGGCCGGAGGAGGGAGGCCGAGCGCGCTGTGGGAGAGCGGGACCCGGGGAGTGCGCGGCTTCCTGGGCCGTTCATTCATTCCCTGCCCGCGGCCGCCGGAGTGCTAGTCTCTGCGCTGCTCGGCCGGCCAGCTGCCTTGCACCGGCCCGCGCGCGGCTTGACCCCTGCCCGTCTTTCCGGGTTGGGCCCCCTCACCCCCTCTTTCCTACGCCGCGGTTGTTACGGGGCATCCAACTTTCGCTCTCTCCAGTGGGCGTTTTCTCTTGCCTTGCGTCCTTTGTAAAGATACTTATTGACGTAGAAACGGTCGGGGTTTGGAGCCCACGGCCAAGAAAGAACTCTTTTTTTTAAGATTTTGTTGCAGAGCGCGAGCGAGCGAGAGCGCGCAAGCATGAGCGCTGGGAGGGGCAGAGGGGGAAGCAGGCTCCCGGCTGAGCTGAGAGCCAGGTGCGGGGATGGATCCCAGGGCTCTGAGATCATGGCCGGAGCCCAAGGCAGCCCCGGAACGGACTGAGCCACGCAGGCTCCCAGGAAAGAATTTTTGAGCCGTCTTTGGTGCAAAGAAGGTGGTTTTGTTACAGCACGGGCACAGGACCCCTGGGCGGAAAGAGCTGCACTGGGAGGCAGTGGCCCATTGTATGCTTTCAAGTTGGGAGGGGGTTGGGGACAGCACAAGCCTCCAAGGTATTTTGGAGCAAGGTTTCCAGGACCTTGAGGGGACTAGCTATTGTTAGGAAAAGGTCATCTATTACTGTCTAGTAAAAACTCAGTCATGAGACCCTTCAGATGAGTATCGGTGGGCCATATGCTTAGGGGACGACGATTGCCACCATGTAGCTTGGGGGAGGATGGTAGAGATAGAGGAAGTTTCCAAGGGTATTTTTTATACGTTGAAGTTGACTTACAGGATCCTGGGGAGTTCGGCTGAGATTGACTTTGGACCTTAGCAAAGTATTAACATCAACGCAGCTGAGCCCCTAGAGGAAGGTCACTCTGCCTGTTTCAAGGACTTGTCAACGGGCTGTAGGTAGTAAGGAAATTTAACTGTTCTTTTGCCTTTGTTTCCCGCATCATTTATTACCTTTGCCTAGAACCTTTTGTTCGACTCTTTCCATGCTAAGTCCTATTTACCTGAAGGCCCATCTTAGACAGGACTTATCTCCCAAGAAGCATTCCTTGATCTCTCAAGTCTGGGTGGGTTTCCCCTTGTAGGTAATCTTACAGCATCCTGCATGATCCCAGTCATAGTAACTTAGTTTATGTTGTAATTGCTGTTTAATATTTTGTCTCCCACTAAACTACCCATTTGGCGAAGTCAGTATCTGTTTTATACATTGTTAATTTCCCAAAGTCTAGTACAGTATTTGGCATATAATCTCTCAGTAAATGTATATAAAGTTCTCCCAGATATATGGGCAACCTGTGGAGTTAACTGTTCATAGTGAAGACACTTTTCTCCCTATGATCTTTTCAGCTGCACCAGTTTACAGATGTAGTAAGATCCTTTCATTAGGCTCCCTTCCCTGACTAGCCTCTTATTTAAGGGCGAATTGTCCCCCATCCGCAGTGATAGAGCTCTGCCTCCCATGTTGTAGTATTCGCCTAGCTCAAGCTGGCCAGTCAGATCCTCTCTCCTGGGATTTCCAGACTGGGAGGAAGAGAGCTCAGTCTGAATCTTCCTGTGGAGCTGGAATGGTCACATGCTAACCTAGTATTTGTGGGGAAAGCTGAGAACAGGTGGTCTGCAGAAGGAGAATGAAGCGAGGGAAGTTGAGTCCGTGGAGTCAGATAAGAGAAAGCCTTGATTGCATTTCCTCAGGGATAGCTGCATTCCCATACCTGGCTCTGTGACATGTTTCTGTTTCTTCTAAATTCCTCTATTTTGCTCATAGGAGCCTGAGTTAATTTCTGTCAGTTGCAACCTAAATTGTAACCAGTAAAGAAATTGGAACAGAGGGTCTTGATGCAGGGTGGTGAGTTCAAGCCCTCACTATTTTGAGGGTGGAGCCTACTTAAAAAAAAAAGTATGTGCAGGGGGTGCCTGGCTGGCTCAGTTGGGCATGCCACTTTTGATGTTGGGGTTGTAGTTCAAGCCCCATGGTCGGTGTAGAGCCTATTTAAAATTAAAATCTTTAAAAAAAAAAAAGAAATGGACACAGAGGAAGTGGATTCCCTGAAATAGTCCCACAGAAAAAATGTGAATCCAGCTGAGTAATGGTGGAAGGGAGGACCATTAGGAGTTCCCTATCCCAGAATGGTAAACTGGAACGTTTGTGACACAGTTGGCAAAATTTGAATAGGTCTTAAAATTATATAATAATGTTGTATGAGTGATAACTTTCTGATGTTCAGTAATGCTGGGTATACAGGTAAGCCTGTCCTTGTTTCTAGGAAATACATACAAAGGTATTTATGCACACATTTCAGAATAAAAAGAGCAAAGCAAGTAAATGTTACGTGAAATGTTAACATTTATGTGGGTGAATGGTGAAAAGAAATCTTTTTACTGTTTTACTGAAAGTCTGATTTTATTTCAAAATAAGAAGTTAAAATAATAAGTTAACTAGATTTATTGTGGTGGTCACATGTCAATGTTTACAAATACTAAATCGTTTTATTGTGCCTGAAAGGAATATGTTATATGTCAATTATATCTCAATAAAATTTTTTAATTAAAAAGTTAAAATACTGACATTAAATTTATTAAAGTTATAAATATAAAAACCTATTTCTTAAATTTATGTATGGTATATAACTGCTTGGCAGTCACCTTTTAATAATGGTTTGTCCTTGGTGGGGATGGTGTGAGGTGGTGTCAGGACCATGGACTGGAGCTTGTGCGTGTGGCCTCTCCAGTGTGGTAGTCTCAGGGTAGTCAGACCTTTTAGGTGATCTCTCAGGAGACGGTGTTCGAAAAGGCTTGAGTGAAAGCTGCAAAGTTTCATATGACCAAGCCTCAGAAGTGCTGGGATTTCCTTTCCACCATATTCTGTTGGTCAAGCAAGTCAGTAAGGCCCAGGTTCGGGGGGAGAGGTGTTAGACTTCACCTTTCAGTGAGGGGACTAACAAAAATGGCTGCTGTTACTCACAATGAGATTTTATTCCGTATGTTTCATACATTTCACATATGATTTAAAGTGAATCCAAAATGGAAATCTTACACTACATAGTCTGATTTCAGGTCAGAGTTTACAAAATCATCTTAGTGACTGATCCATGTCATTGAGGGATATTGAGTTGGCTCTAACTATGTAAGTGAGCAAACATTTGGATAACACGTAAGAATCTATTTTTCCTTAGTTGTATGACTTCTGCTCTTCTATAGGCAGATACTTTTAGGGTTCTTTTAAAATTAATTTATCTGTAAGATGAGGAGTACAAATAGTTAGAAAATAATTTAGAATTGATCAGAGATGACTTGCAGAGTTGTGTTTCACTGTAATCTTGCCAGTGTTGACCTAACGAATGAGGAGACAACTGATTCCGTTAGTTCTAAAGCCAGTACATCTGAAGGGAATCAGCAAGAAGATGGCAGCGTGTTCTCTCTCATTACCTGGAATGTTGATGGACTGGACCTAAACAATCTGCCAGAGAGGGCTCGAGGGGTGTGTTCCTATCTAACTTTGTAAGTATTATTACTTAGGTTCAATGGTAGCATGATAACGTGCAACGTGGCTTACCTATCTACAAAGAGGGTAACAGTCAAGATCATGGGCTTTGGAATCTGATCTGAGTTCAAAATCTAGCTCTCAGAAGAAACATGTAAAAGAATGGAGAGTGACTGCCTCTGAGAGCAAGAGTGTGGACAAGGTGGGGAGGGAACACTAATTTTTGTTAGATGCTTTCTAGTACTGTTTCACTTAAACTTTGTATGTAATTATTGCTCTGAAAGTAAAATTATCAGAATGGTCTGTATCTGCTACCCACTGGCTCTATGACCTTCTGTAATCCCTTGTGAACCACCGGAGCTCTCTGCAGCTCAGTTTCCTCGTCATGGTTAACTGTTCCACAAGGACTGATAATTTGTAAGGCATCTAATGGAGTATGGGACCCTTGTAGGCTCTCCATATACTGATTTCTGTAGTCAGTGATTCCAGTTCTTTTCACTTGAAAGTGTTATGATGTGTGTTTTTCTTACTTAATTTGATCTTTACAGTATTTGTTAAATAGCACAGATCTTTCTCATTTTATAGTTATCAAATATCAGTATAAACATTGAATATTAGGTGCCCTAGGGGGGCAGTAATTTTGTGTTTCTTTTATGTTGTGGTTTTTTGCTAATCTAGGTGTCAGCAAATGAAATAGTATACCTGGGATTTATTATAAATTGATGTTTTGAATTAGGTACAGCCCAGATGTGGTATTCCTACAGGAAGTTATTCCCCCGTATTGTAGCTACCTAAAGAAGAGAGCAAGTAGTTATGAGATTATTACAGGTAACAATTTTCCTGTTACTGTCTTTGTCTTTGAAAAACAGTCAATGAAAGAGATAAATCAAGGTTAGCCTACAGGAGCACACACAAAAAAAAGCAAAAATAAAAAAAGTTTGAGAAAAGTAAGCCAGACACAGGATACTAGAAAAACCATAGGAGAATATGTTTTACAGCTTAATATATGTGAAAAGTATTGGAAATGGATGGTTTTTAAGGAAAATGTAAATTTTTAGCCAAAATTTTGAGACCTGGAGTAATTTTTTAGTGAAATTAATTTATTAAAAATTTTAAGTGTGACAAGTGTGCATTTTGGTTATACTTTTTCTAAAAGTCTGTTTTTATTCCTTTTAATTGATTTTGGGTTTTTTCCTAGTTTTTTGCCCTGAATAGTTTTTTCACTTTCCATCTATTTTGTTTTTACTGAATGCATTTAATGTACCACACACTGGCTACATTCCATAATAGTTGGCTAAATCGCGTGTTTTCTTTGACTTTCACTTTTACATAGTATGTGATTTTAATTTTGATTTATAATAAATTCTCAGTTGCTAAGGAGAAGGTAATCTCTTGTTTCTGTTTTTCTTTCTGTCTTTGTGGGACAACTTTGCTGCATTCTTTGGGGGATTTTTTTTGACTCTTCTGTTTTAGATTTCTGTTTTCTGAATACCATGCTATTCCTCCAACTTGGTTTCCTTCCTTGTTTTATTGGGTCTTTTTTTTTTTTTTTTTTTTTTCCCATTGTGCTGAACTTGTGTAGGAACTTTCAAACTGGAGGACTGTGACCTTCAGTTCTGGAAAATTCTTTCCCTCTCTCCTTTTCTCCTCTGTCCCACTCACCCTCCCCTACCTGCTTGCACACTGCCATTTTTCTAGCCCACCTGCTGTCCTCCTTAGCCCTCCCTTTCCTTCCCTTGTTTCTTCCTTTTCCCCCTTTCCTCTTTTTCTGGTTTCCCTCTGCTCCAGTAAATCACTTTCCACTTTTTCAGCTAGTTTGTTTTCTGAAAAACAGTTGGAAGCTTTTATTCACTGCCCCTCTACTTCTATTCTTTCCTCTTCTTACGATTTTATACATTTCTAAATTTTTTATTCATTTACTATAATTTTTCTGGTGCTTGCATGGTGAGAAGTAAATGCATGTTAGTTTGGCTCAGTGTAAGTCTCATCTTTCCTTTCAGAAATTTCTCAAATTTACTTGCTTGATATTGGCATTAACTATTTTTGGCACTTATGTGAATTCTTTTTCATTTTTATATTTCTTCGATATATCCAGCTATTTTGGGGGGGGGGCGTAAACATAGGGACTCAGTTGGCTGTCTTCACCTATTTTGAAATAATAGTTTACTTTGAAGATTCAGATCCATTTAAGTATCTGTACCTGTTATAAAACCTTCAGTAGGGGAACTTGTGATAAACTGCAAATACTCTTGACTTCTCAGCCTAAATTCTTTTCCACAAACATTTGAAGGTCGTGAAGAAGGATATTTCACAGCTATAATGTTGAAGAAATCGAGAGTGAAATTTAAAAGCCAAGAGATTATCCCTTTTCCAAATACAAAAATGATGAGAAACCTTTTGTGTGTGTATGTAAGTAATTTTTTTAAATTGACTTTTTTAAAGATTGAGTTGTTTCTTATAGTTCCATTGTGGTATCTATTTTTTTTTTTAATTGCCATTAGAGAAAATGTTGTCTCTTCTACATTCTTTTAGTCTTAAAGAACATTGTAAATTAAGTTTTTACACAAATTTCAATACAAATTTGTAAACATAAAATCCTGACCCATTAGGTATCTTCCTAAGAATACTCAAGAATTTACTAACAGTTCACATTTGCTTCCTAAAATGGTTTTTTTTTTTCCTAAATGCGTTGCATATGGTACTCTGTTAAACTCGTGAGGCTTACAAGAATGAATCAAAAGATCTTACTCTCCTAGAGCTTATAGATTAGCAAGGGAGAGAGTGTAGTATATAGTAACTAAAATAAAGGAAAGGCATAAATGCCCCTGGAGGAGGTGTAATGATGTGCCATGGAAGTTTAGAGGTAACTGTTAGCTAGATTGTTGTTGTTGTTTTTAATGGAGATATAATTGGCACAACAGTGTATACTTCCAGGTGTACAATGCAGTGATTGGACAGATACATATATGTTGCAAAATGATCACCACAGTATCCAGTTAACAGCTGTTGCCATACACGGTCACAAAAGTTTTTTCTTGTGATGAGATTAGCTAGGTTGTTTAGTGAAAGTTTGATGAGGGAATTTGTATTTGAATTGAGCCCTGAAAAATATGTAAGATGTGTGCGTTAAGAAGAGTCCAGGTGGCAGAACCACCATGAGCAAACTTTGGCAAATTGTATATTGCAGGATGTGTGTATATATATATAAGTATATGAGAAAGGACATATGTAAGTATAAACGAACGTTATATTCAGTTGGGTATAGAGGGCATGAAAAGGGGTAGTGTGACAAGAAGTTGGTAAAACAGGTTGGATCCAAATTACGGAAGGTCATGAATGCCCAGTGTGAAAGAATCTGGACTTGATTCTGCAGGCAGTTAGTTTAAATAATTAATAGATCCTGCATTTTTAGTATCTTAACTGCAAAATGGTAAATGATTCTCATTCATTAAACTGACTTTTTTTGAGTACCTATGTGCCAAGCTCTTGGTAATAGCAGAAAATAAAACAACCATCTTTGCTTTCAAATGACTCATGACTTTGTAGGAGAGAAATAATTATGCTGTAATTCAGTGAAGGGAACTTTAAAATGCTATAGGAATATAGCAGAGGGAGCCACTGATTGCCTGGGGACATTGGGGAAGGACTCCAGTGGAGATGACATTTGAGGTAGGTCTTGAAGTAGTAGTGGGTGTTTGCTAAGTAGTCTTCTTTGGGAGCAGGATTATCATGTTACACCTTGACCTAGAAATATGAGCACAGTGCTGATTATATAGTTTTGCTTTGGTAAATATATACCAATCAGTTGAATAATCGGTCGATTCTGTTATCAAATTTTTCAGCATTAGTGGTTAGTGAACTTTAACTTAAACTATAACTGTTTATCCTGTTGCAGGCAAGTGTGTCGGGAAATGAACTTTGCCTTATGACTTCTCATTTGGAGAGCACCAGAGGGCATGCTAAGGAACGAATGAATCAGTTAAAAACGGTTTTAAAGAAAATGCAAGAGGCTCCAGAGTCAGCTACAGTTATATTTGCAGGAGATACAAATTTAAGGGATCATGAAGTGAGTGACAAAGTCAGTTCTGTGCTTGTGGGCAGATTATTGCTGTAGAAACTAATTTAGGTTTCTTTTGACCAAAGCTGTTACAATGTGTAAGTGACTTGCAAATGCAATTCAGTAAATACTTGGCCTGTGCTGTAGGCCTGGGCACTGGGGAAGCAGAAGCAGTAGGAGCGCTTCCATTATTGGGGGAAAACAGAAATACTGCATCTGAAACAGACAGCACAGAACAATATATGTTGATTAAAAAGAGGTATAGAGAAAGAGTTAAGAAAAGATTTAAGTTTATTTGCAGTATCTCGAGTTGCAAGGTGAAAAGAACAGAAAGATTTGGCCATCACAGTTGTCCCTACCTCTCTTCTGAGTTTTCTTTTTTCAGCTTTTTTTTTTTTTTTTACCCCCTTTTCCTGGTACTGCCATCTCCAGGACTGAAACAAAGTCTCTTTCCCCTTAGTTCATTTGAGACGCGTTGGGATTTTTCAGGATCTGTAGACTTAGATCATATTAAATGGTGAGCTGGCCTTGCCTTTTCCCCCAACTCTGGCTGAACTCACATCAGATTAGAAGTGAATTGAAACGTTCATTTCACTGTCCTAAGCTCCAGGAGTAGAGGAAGAAGTGAAATGAGAAATGAAAGCCTGTCAGGACCTCGGAAGTGAAGACAGTATCCTAAATAAAGTGGTGCTCTGCTTCTCTTTATGATTTTGTGCCCTTGTACACAGATCATTTTTTAAAAAGCCTAACTATTGGACTGTTTGCAAATCAGTAACTTCATGGTAGCTGTTTTGTGGTACCTGGTTGACTGACTGACCTGCTTAAAAGAAAAATCCTGTTTTTCAACAAATGGTGTTGGGAAAACTCGATATTCACATGCAGAAAAACAAAGTTGCATCCTTGCTTTATACCCTATATGAAAGTTTATTCAAAATGGATCAATGACCTATTATAAGTAAGAGCTAAAACTATAAAAAGAAAACAAAGGGGAGAAGCTTTATGACGTTGCATTTGGCAACGACTTCTTGGATGTGACACCAAAAGCATAGACAAGAAAAAAAAAAGATAAGGTGAACTTTATCACAATGAAAAACTTTTGTGCATCAAGGGACATGATCACAGAATGAAAAGGCAGCTCATGGAGTGGAAAAAATATTTGCAAATCCTATAGATGACAAGTGAGTAATAATATAATTAATATGATGTTGATGTTCTATGAAGAATTTCTACAATAAAGAAACCACCTGATTTAAAAATGAGCAAAAGACTTAAATAGACATTTTTCCAAAGAAGAAATACAGATGGCCAATAAGTACAAGAGAAGATGCTCAGCGTCACTAGTCATTAGAGAAATGTAAATCAAAGCCATCATGAGATACTACTTTACATCCATTAGCATCAATATTAGCCAAATGCCAGAAAATAACAAGCGTTTGCGAGGATTTGGATTAGAGCCCTTGTGCAGTGCTGATGGGAATATCAAATGGTATGGCTGCTGTGGAAAATTGTGTGGTGATTCCTCCAGTTTCCATATGGTCCAGCAATTCCACTTCTGGGGTGTATACCCAAAACAAAGAAAAGCAGGGTCTTGAAGAGGCATCGGTGCACTGTGTTCATAGCAGCTAATATTATCCACAATAGCTAAAACACGGACACAACCAAAGTGACCATTGACAGATGCATGGATAAGCACAATGTATATGCGTGCAGTGGAGTATCATTCAGCCTTAAAAAGGAAGGAAATACAGCATGCTACAATATGGACAAACCCTGGACATTACGCTAAGTGAAATAAGCCAGTTACAGAAGGACAAATATTTTATGACTCCTCCTATGAGTTTCCTGAAGTAGTCAAAGTCATACAGACGGAGAGTATAATGGTGGTTACCAGCAGCTAGGGGAGGATGGAATGGGTAGTTAGTATTTATTGGGTACAGAGTTTCAGTTTGGGAAAATGAAAAGGTTCTAGAGATGGTTGGTGGTGATGATTGCACAGTTTCGTGGATGTACTTAGTGCCATAGAACTGTGCTAACTTTTACATATACAGGCATACCTCAGAAGTATTGCAGGTTCAGTTCCAGACTACTGTAATAAAGTGCATATTATAATAAAACAAGTCAAACAAATTTTTTAGTTTCCCACTGCATATAAAATCATGTTTATACTACTGGAGTCTATTTAAAGTATGCACTGGCATTATGTCTAAGAAAGCAATGTACGTACCTTAATTAAAAAATACTTTATTGCTAAAAATGCTAACCATCATCTGAGTTTTCAGCCAGTTATAAACTTTTTTGCTGGTAGAGGGTCTTGCCTTGATGTTGATCAGGGTGGTGGTTGCTGAAGGTTGGGATGGCTGTAGCCATTTCTTGAAATAAGACAATGAAGTTTGCTGCATTGATTTGACTCTTGCTTTCATAATTTCTCTGTACCATGCAATGCCTTTTTTCTTTAAATTTTTTATTGGTATGTTAATCACCATACATTACATCATTAGTTTTTGATGTAGTGTTCCATGATTCATTGTTTGTGCATAACACCCAGTGCT